TGGTTGGAAGTGCTGAATGGGAACTTGAATTTATAAAGGGCTTCTGTCTTTTCCTGAAGACAAAAAGAAGCCGGAGAAGTAAAAAACTTCAGAAAACAGTCCATGCACGTTTCCCCTGTGATAAATAAAAGTTGTTGTTGAAAGCTTTTTTGCTTACCATATGTTAAACATATGTTTATTTTCTCATACTGGTCTTGTCTGGATAGCCAACTCTGGAAAAAGTCACCTTGGAAATCCTTCCCCTCAAATTGCAGCTTGAAGAATTTAAAAAGAAGAGTCTCTCATTCGTAGAAGGCACCTTCAGCTTGGTGGCAACTTGCTCACCCTAAATTTAGAAAGGCTGGCTTTGACGTCTGCCGGGAGGCTGATTTAGACCAGAGGGGCAGCCTGAGAGTTCTGCTGCACAGCGTTCTCCATGCCCTCATCTCTAGTGTATGTTACATTCACCGTGGTTTCTGCTCCCATCTAAGCTTTTGAGCTGAAACTCATGTCCATAGTGCTAAAAGCATTGCCCTTTTCCCAGGCTTTCTTCTATTTCCCATGTCTCTCTTTTGCAGAACTTTTGCTATTTCTCTGACTTTATCAGTCTCCCTTGCTGACTCCTCCTCTTCCCCTCAAAGCATTTGTCATCTCCAAGTTTCAGCTCTCGGCTGTCTGGTTGTTTTTCCTTCTCATCTATTTCATTTAACCTCTCCTTTCCTCTCCACGCCCAGGGCTATTTCATGTCTTTCCAAGGTTTGACTTCTCATTCATTCAACAAATATTCATTGAATAAATATCCCTGTCTCCTTTTTTTTTTCCTCACACCTACATTCAAATGATCAAATTTTGTTGGCTCTACAATCAAAATCTACCTAGAAGCTGACTTGCTTTTATCAGGCTGAAAGCACCATCATCTCCTGGACCACTGCATCAGCTTCCAAATTGGTCTCCAGGCTTTGTATTTCATTTTCCCATGTCCCTTAGTCTAACCATGCATCTGGATTCTGTGAGCCTTCTCAAACCCTACACCAGACCCCATCACTACTATGTGTACAACCATCTGGATGGTGTTCTCTCTCTCTTTTTTCACTTGTGGTGAGAACACTTACCATGAGATTGATCCTCCTAACAGATTTTTTAAATGTACAGGAGATTATTGTTATCTATGGATGCAATGTTATTCAGTAGATCTCTAGAACATATTCATCTTGCATAACTGAAATTTTACACCCACTGATTAGCTAGCTCCCCTTTTCCCCCTCCCCAGACCCTGGCAACCACCATTTTATTTTTAGTTTCTGTGAGTTTGATTGTTTTAGATGTAAGTGGCTTATTTCACTTAAATATAATGTCCTTAAGGGCAAAGATGTTATCAGACTCTATGACTGACTTCACACTGTCTGCATGTCTACTTACCTTTGCCCTCCTTGTCACTTCTCAGGGGCTACATCTCTCACTGGTCTTAGCCATGGTCACTGAACTCCTGCTCATTGCTAGCTTGCCTTCTTTTACCACTCCAGATATGTTCTAGCTTCAGAATCTTTAAACTCCCTGTCTCTTCTTCCCAGAACACAGTTTTCCCATACAGCACAATGACTCTGTTTCCCTCACCACTTTTAGGTCTTTGCTCAAGCATCATCTTTTCAGTGAGGCTTTCCTAGGACTTCCTATTCCAAGTTTCCACATACCCTCTCCTCCTTGGTCCTTCCTAGTTACCATTCCCGATTTATTTTCTCTCTACCACTTATTACCATTATATGTTTATTATCTCTTTATGTAAGAGTCAATGCATAGGGATGTTTGTTTTTTCACTGATATATTTGTTTTATTAGCATCTAGGACAGTGCCTAGTCAGAGTAGGTACACAGTCAGTGTTTTCTGAGTGAATGAATGAATGAATGAATGAAAGAATACATGTTACTATGTGCCAGTTACTTAGTGTGCAATGACGAACAATTGGATCCTGCCCTCAAAAAACAAACTGTTTAATAAAACACTGTCACTAATGAGAGAGTTTTGTTTAAGGTGTTAGAAAGCCTGGAATAGGGATACCTAACTCAGCCTGAGGTTGGATGAGGCACCAAAGTTGGGCTTCCTGTAGGAGGCCGCACCTGGGCCTGACAAAAGTTAGCCCTTTGAAAGGAGAGGTTTGGAGAGGAGCTTTTTAGATGGAGGGACAACATGAACAGAGGCATGGTGGCTGAGCTGATGCTGTGAGTGGTCCTCTAATTTCTCCTCAAAGCTTTTTACTATTTCCGAATATGTCAACCTGACTTATGGCCAAGAGCTGCATCATTACTGGGAGACTGCTGTGCCTATGGACATAAGCAGCCTGGAATGCCTGAGAATTAATAAGTGCCCCTCAGCTCTTAATGACTAATGAGTGTTGGGGTATGTATACCCCTGTTCTCTTGCCCCTTGGCCAGGATATTTCTGAGGGGTAAGTACAGCAATTTTGTGGGATTGAACTCTATTTAATCACTGTTGTTGATTTAATAATGTACCCATTATCGACGAAATTCTCTCTCCTGTGTCACTTCACCCTCAACTACCCCTTTTCTTTGAAACTCCAACAAACTGTTGATCCTGGAATCTTGGCTTAGGGTTGGCCCTGGAGAAACTCAAATGAAGACAGTGATTTTTACCCAAACTCTAGAGAATAAAAATGATAAAGTCTTTGGTCTGCTTTGGGACATAATAAAGCAAGCCATATGGGTTGTGTATAGGTATAGGGAGAGGTGATTAGGTTTGATAGTAAAGGAATTTGAATTCTACATGAAGGGATTTAGAATGTTTCCAAATTCCTTCTGAAATCTTTGAGTTTGGGGATAAAGTAATCAAAGGATATCTGAGTATGATGAATCTAGCCGTGGTATATAGTGGTATTGTACTGGGGGCAGGAAAGGTCTACAGTTAGGAAACAGTTCAGGCAGCACAGTTAGGATATATTCGGGAGTGCCTTAGTGAGGTGGCAGTGAGAATGGAAAGGAATAGATGGAGAGAAAATGTCAAGGGAAAAAATGACAAGATTTGGAATCGAGTTCTGCGTGTTGCGGGGGTGGGAGGAGAGCAGAAAATGTCTGAGGCTCTGTGAGTTAGAGAGCAGAAGTATCAACAGAGATGAGGAAGCTGTGAGTGGGATCTGGATTTGATGAGTTAAAGACATTTGGGGTTTGTGCCAGTGGAATGTCCAAGCAGAAATGTCCAGCAGACAGCTGGAAATATAAGAAGGCAGGAAGGATTTGGTTTCAGAATTGGAGCTCTTTTAGACAGTGATAAAGGTGCCTGGCTATGTGAAAATCCCAAAGAAACACTTGCTTTATGCAAGTCTTATAGTCCTGACCTTGTGACTCTAAAAGAGGAGAAATTTCATAGTAACCTGCAGGCATTGATGGACTTTGCAATTGAAATACATACTTGTGATGTGGAGAGGCTGTAAGTGTGTATAGAGGCAAAAGGGGGAGTGACAGGGCAGAAAGGTAGGCTCTGACCAGGTGAATTCTTGAAGATACGGACAACCAGGAAAGCAAGAAGTCCAATTCAAGGAGTTTGACACAGTTCAGGTACAGTTGACAGGTTCTGGAATTCTGGAGACTTAGATTTGGTCAAAAGACCAGCCATTCCTTTCAGAATCCTCAGGCTCAGAAGACTGATGTTTATTTTCTGCCTAATTTTGTGGAGTGGCGCTGGCCACACGCTGAAGGATGTTATTAGGGAATCCATCCCTTAGCTTTTTCTTCTTCAGGCTAAATAAACCTATTTCATTCTTCTCACAGGTCATAGTTTCCATTTTTTTAATTATTTGTTATCCTTCTCTGAACGTTCTCCAATTTTCCTTTAAAAATCCTGAAACCGGGCGCCTGGGTGGCTCAGTTGTTGAGCGTCTGCCTTCGGCTCAGGTCATGATCCCAGGATCCTGGGATGGAGTCCCACATCAGGCTCCCTGCTCTGCGGGAGGCCTGCTTCTCTGTCTCCCACTCCCCCTGCTTGTGTTCCTGCTCTCGCTGTGTCTCTCTCTGTCAAATAAATAAATAAAATCTTTAAAAAAAAAAAAATCCTGAGACCAAACCTTCAAAACAGTAACAACTAGCTTAGTTCTGGGCACAGGAAATGATTTTCTAAAATGTCACATCCAGGCAACATTTCTTTGCAGGTTTTTCCACCTGTTTTAAATGCGACCATTTATTACTCATCTATATACCATGCTAGTTTTAGACAAAATGAGATCATAATGGGATACCTTTTTCAATAATTTTCTGTTTTAACTTCAAAGGCTCAGAGTTGGAAAAGCTTTGGCTCGATTTTTTTTTTTTTTTCATTTTAGGAAAATAGAGGTAGAAGATTACAGAATGCTACCGCGTTACCAGTCTGATGCTTTTTCTCCCATAAGATAGCTCATGTCATGAAATATATGAAGCAAAATTGTCACGCTTGTACTTTTTGCCCCTGCTCATCCCAACAGATTAAATACTGGGCTAGCTAAAATGTGATGAGATGTAATACAGAAAAAGGGCATTTGCTTAGACAAGAGTCAAAACTGGAAGCAGGGGAGGACGTGCCAGGGACCTGAGAGATCGCTCAGACAACTCTGGGAGTAATTTTCCATGTGGACTGAAGGAAGATCTTGTAAGGCACAGCCCCAGGTTACACATGCTGGACTCCAGTTCCGCAGGATTTACAAGCCATGACTGGAGAGAGTCTATGGCTCTCCTGGCACAGGCAGAGGAGGAAGAAATGTTCACTGGACAATAAAAAATTTCGGTTTACAAGGTAAAATAAAAGCAGGGCCTTCCTTCCACAGAGTGAAGAAACTTGCCCCCTGAGTAAGGGTTGAGGGTGGGGGGCGATCCATTTCCATGACTTAAGAGTCTGGCGAGGTCTCTTCAGAGAAGATCGCTGTGGATTTGCAGTCACTCTGATGAGAGTAGTCTCCAAATTCAGAGAAGAGCAAATTCACACCCTCTGAGGCTACTGGGAAGCTTCTGGTGCTGAGGCAGCAGAGAAGAAGGGGAGGGGAGCACCGCCCGCCCGCCAGACTCCCCGCGGCTCCTCCCCTCTCCCAGGCCCACTCCCAAAGTTAAGTACACGCTCCCTTGTTCCAGCCACAAGCCCTGCGTGAGCCTCTACACGTAGCCGCAGACAGCTCCTTAAATAGGTCGGAGTTGAGCAAACAATCCCAGACTTGGGGCCGGCAAAGGCGAGCGGAGGCGACCGCACCGACGCGGCGGGTCAGCTGGCGGCCAATAGCCGGGGTGCGGCCCGCCCTGTCGCCTCCCCCTCGGGGAGCCTATAATTTGCCCGCAGCGCCCGGAGGCGCTAGCTCCTCCGCGACTCCGCGACGGCCTCATTTCGGCCGCCCTCCCTCCCGCCGCTCCAGCTGCCCGCAGCCGCTCCGCTGCGCGCACTTGGCCCGCCGGCTCCCGCCCGCAGTCGTCGGCCCCGGGCGGACCGGGCTCCCCGCGCTCTCGCGAGAAGTGCACCGCTCCTGGGCAGTGGGGGTGCCGGAGCTGGAGCGGGCTCTCCGGAGGCCGAAGATGGGGTGCTGCGCCCTGAAGCCGCAGCTGCTGCTGCTGGCGTTTGTCTTCCAGCTCTGGAATCCCTGCCTGGGTGCGGACTCGGAGAAGCCTTCCAGTATCCCCACAGGTGAGCCCTCCCGCGATTTGCCCGTGTCCCGGGAGGCTCGGCCGGGTGGGCAGTTCATTCATCCACCGGGGCTTGCCAGGTGAGTAGGAGGGGCGCCCGTCCCTCCCCAGGACTGCAGAGGTGAGTAGGTGGGAGCCTGTCCTTCGCCAGGACCACCGAGGTGAGTGAGTCGGGACCGCTGAGGTCTTCCCCAGAACTGCGCTCGGGCGGCGCTGGTCCCCGGGGAAGTGTGGGAGCCCCCGCCCTCCTGGGTTCTGGGAGTTCACCGCAACCTGTGAGCGCACGAAGTTTTCTTCAGCACAAGCTGGGGTTTCCTTTTCGTCTTGCAGGTCAGTGGGGGCCAGCACCTTTCGGGCAACTCTCCTTTCTCCTCCTTTCCTGGAATTGGCATGATTTATTCGTGTTGGAAGAGGCAGTAGTCCCTCTGTGACCCAAACTTGGGGCTCAGTGTACTTTCTGATTGATGGTGACACATTCGTTCCAGCGCCCCAGGAAGCAGCCGGTAACACCTACCTTTTGCCAAAAACAACGCTCAAAACCTTGGTTGTTTTCAGTAAGGCTGCCTGGCTACCCAATACCTCCAGGAGGCGGCTTTCCTCCTTAGGGATTTGGAGGGGAAGCTGTGGACACACATCTCCTCTTAGCCACCCTTTTCCTAAGCCTGGTGCCATTTCTTGTTTTCAGAAGCTGGAACTGCAGCAAAGAGTCCAGTCAAGTTCAAGTAAAACAAAACTTTTTACATTTACCAAGATTAAAGAGTTTCACCACATGTTTGCCTAAACATACTTCGGTGCCATTTACAGCACAGGAGATATCCTTGGAGTTTTCCGCTTTTGTGCTCTTACTCTATGCTCAACACTCTGAAATTAGATCTCACACTTAAATGTCCTCGTGCTGTACTGTTTCTTTTTTTAAATTAGGATCATTTTGTCCTTTTTTTTTTTTTTTTTTGGTAAGTAAATAGGGCGTTTTTCTGCTTGAACTTTAAGCACAAGGACACATTTCTATTTCAGGTTTACAGTCAGAAGATGACATTTGGTGTAGAACCCAGTTAGTCCGTCTAAGCAGTAGTTTTGTCTTCATCTTTAAGTGTTTAAGAAGGCTTCAGTGGGCTAAATTACCCATCTTTCTACATTCCTGCCAAACAGTACTTGCTTTGTTAGCTTGAAAAACTTCAGCGTGTAGATGGATTTTTGTCAGTTACATGATGCTTTTCTTTCTTCTAGATAAATGTGTTGATTTCACAATGGATTTCTGAACACTGTGTGGTTTCTTTAAATTTGAACTGAGTTTTTTCATAACTTTAAAATTTTCTTTTAGTGTAACACCTAGAAAATAGACGAGTAAGTGCCTTCAGCAAACTTGGAAATGGAGACATTAAAAAAAACAGTCCCCAGAAAAATGACTTTCTTTGTTGAAACACCCAAGGAAACCTTACTGGGAAATAAAATAACCTCGAAGGGCTTTGCTACTTTTAGAGGGACCTCTTCAGCCTCTGTATATTTTATTTCAGTGCATTACCAACCCCCCCCTTTTTTTATAGAAGGCATCTCTTTGTAGCTTCCTTTAGGTTTTCAGTCAAAATCATCTTGCTTTCCCACTCTGGCTTTTAAGTTTCATAGAGCTGGAGAGTAAAGTTTTAATGGATTGTAACATAAGGGAAAGGGAATTTTAGATATGAATGTTTTCTTCAGAAACTGAGCACATAAAACCCACTGCTGAAATCTGAGGTCTGGTCGATCTTGGTGGGTAGGCATGGAGAATTCAGTTAGCGCCTAAATGCAGGAAAATATTAATTTGTAGTACATGGAGGCAGCAGTAGCCAGTTTGATTATGAACTTCTGAGTAGGTGAATGTGATGAGCTGATAAATATAGATGATACACTGCTCAGTAACATGGCCAGTCATGTACTATGTCCCATTTTCTCCCTAAAATATTGCAACCCGAAAATTGCTAAATTGGAAATTTTATTTATCCATCTATCAAGTGAACTTTAGAACTCTAACTTGTTTCACTTAATAGGAGGTCTTTAAGAAAAGTACTTATCATTTCTATCCACCTGTGTTTGTCACCATGTCCCAGTTAGCCGTGAAGAAATAGATTAGATCAGGCTTTCTTGGCCCAATTGACATTTTGAGCCAGATAATTATTTATTGGAGGGGGGCTGTCCCATGCATTGTGCTATGTTTAGCAACATCTTTGGCCCCTACCCACTAGATACCAGTAGCACCCTCCTCCACGTGTGAGAATGAAAAATGTCTCAAAATGAAAAATGTCCAGGGGCGCCTGGGTGGCTCAGTTGTTAAGCGTCTGCCTTCGGCTCAGGTCATGATCCCAGGGTCCTGGGATCGATCCCCGCATCGGGCTCCCTGCTCTGCAGGAAGCCTGCTTCTCCCTCTCCCACTCCCCCTGCTTGTGTTCCCTCTCTCGCTGTGTCTCTGTCTGTCAAATAAATAAATAAAATCTTAAAAAGAAAAAAAATGAAAAATGTCCAAATGTCTCCTGAAGGGTAGAATTGCCCAGGGTTGAAAACCCCTGGATTAGAAAAATCGATGTGGATCTGAGGCAATGTGGCATTATAGTGTTACTGGAATGATACTAGCAACTCCTTTTTGAAAGCAAATGTTTATAGTGATTTTCCATTTTTCCACTGTAGTAGGGAATGTGCTATTTGAATCACATTAATCAAGTTTTGGAATATGTTTTTTCCTAGCTTTCTTTGATACTGTGTGTTGACTAGAGTTGAGAATACCACTTTTAGTAATACCTACTGAGGGTTTTACTGTGTACTGTGTTCATTCCTATTTGGTTGCCATTTTGTTTTTTAGCATGGAAAGAATCTAAATAAGATTTTGGTTAAAAACAATTATTTTCTCCTAGTATTATTTATTGGAATTTTCCCTTAAAATTTTATCCCTGTGGGAGCTTTTGAGGCAAAACCCTCCTAATGAGTGTCCACAAATCAGATTAAAACCCTGATTTAGGCGCCCGGGTGGCTCAGTCGTTAAGCATCTGCCTTCGGCTCAGGTCATGATCCCCGGGTCCTGGGATGGAGTCCTGCGTCGGGCTCCCTGCTCTGCGGGGAGTCTGCTTCTCCCTCTCCCACTCCCCCTGCTTGGGTTCCTGCTCTCGCTGTGTCTCTCTTTGTCAAATAAATAAATAAAATCTTTAAAAAAAAAAAAAA